CCTTTACCTCTGCACACAAAATGTCACCGCACACACACACACACACACACACACACACACACACACACAGGCACACAGGCACACACACACAAATATTCGTATGGCTTGCTTCTCACTAATTTGAGACCTGGTTAAAAATGTGGCGGATTCCCGGTGTCAGCACAGCGGCTTGTAAAACGTCCTCTGAATTCCTGTATCAGCAGCTGACAGGCACGCACAGAGCGAGAAATTGGGTAGTCAAATAAATGTATTCCATATTATCTACTGAGTCTTTCTGCAACCACAAAATGAACTGAGTATATGTAATGTACAGTATATATCTGCTTCCGATGATGCCGACAGATACTCACTCATATTCACACTGTAACCAGAACCCCCCACACACACACACATCTACTCTGACCTAAACTGCAGACAGGTACTACCATGCACATGTACTGTATGTTAATGTGTAATGGCCAAGACAACACACACACATCTAGTAATGCATTTGAGGTGGAAAGTGAGTGGCCCTGTTCATTGCCTTGGAAACGGCAGGCTGATTGGTGAAGGTAGTAGCTCTGCGGCGTAATGATGTTATCACTAGACCCAGGTCAGATCAGGACAGACCCCCAGAGACCTACTGTACACACACTCACAAACACACATAGTCATGCAGGCTTGCAATCTGCAGTCTTTATGGACGGAATAAGGTTTAAGACTGAAAATCAGAATTTCCCCCCAAATTGATTTGTGACAGTGGGCTGCATCCTGGGTTCTTGCTGTGTTTTCAGCAGTGTGCTGTAACTGACAGGATGTTGAGAGATATATACAGCATATAAAAGTACTTCTTCATCTTCAGCTATTCCTTGAAATGTCTTTATATGCTCCCACAGGCATTCAAACTGATAGTAGTATACACTCTGCTTCAATTCTCAAAATAATGCATTTCATAAAAGAATAGTAATTGTATACATCTTGTTTTTATATAAATGTTGCATAGGCAGGATGTGACCAGCTGCTTTTATAGTAAATCACATTATGTATGTTTTAATAGCAATACTCAAATAATAATTTCACTATTTTATTGTACACCACATTTTTCTAAATCAATTCAAAGACAAAGTAAAATGGCAACATTGCATTCGTTACAGCTTCTGATTTTCTAGGTTTTTTTTGGTGCAGTATCTCAGAATCCAGCTGCAAATAAATGCTTTAAAAAATTGGATCAATTGGAGTAAAATTCACTCAATAACGGACCGTCATTATCCTACACGCACATATCTCCTGTAAAAATAAGAAAAATAGACCCCCCCCCCCTCACTCACAGCAGCATCCTGTTCTTTCCGGTTCTCATTTCACCACAGGGCTGACACATATCGGTGCTTTTTATATTCACTAAAGTCAGACCCCAAATGGTGTTTTATCCTCTGCTCACAGGAGCACTCATTTATGTTCATGTTCCCTGTTCCAGCCCTAAACATTTAAATTCATACATCCCTTTTCTCTGCTAATTGACATGGCAGTGGCTGAGTTACACTAACCAAGACACTTGTCCCACTCCTTCTTCA